TGCAACTGTTTTCTCTTTGGGTGTCCAATAGTGTAAGATAATAGCACAGCCAACGCAAAGCAAAAGTTCCTATCTGTAGATCAACAACATACCTCAAATCCAATCTCAGCCGAACACTCTCTACTGCACCACTGTGAATTGATTTCTCACAGTAGCTTCTTTAAACAGTACTTTCAAATAGACCTGTCTGTTCCCTCCGCTCAGCAGGTTCCCGCCTGCTCCGTGACCCCCGCCCGGCCCATCGGCGGTCGAGCTTTCAGCCACTCTATCCCCTCGCTTTGGAACTCCATCCCACAGCCATGCTCCCTCCTTAGCCTCCTTAAAGGTCTGTCTCAAGACCCTCCTGTTTGACTGCACCTTTCAGTCACCCTCCCTGCCCTCCACCCCTCCTGTTCCCAACCCCCTGCTCGGGTCCAAATCCCTCCCTGTCCAGCGCCTTGGGACTTCCTCCCGACATGAAAGGCACTATACAACTGTAATTTGTTGTTGTTAAGTGCAACTAGTCAGAAAGCCCAAACCCATTTCCAACCTACAGTTGTCGGGCACAGAATCCTTTTCTATTCATCTGGACTATGAGTTTGTACTAAGATTCAAGAGATAACGTGACTGACTAAGCTATTGAACCAGCTCAATTTCTGCATGCTGTTGCTCGTTTAGTTGGTAACATTTTTGGCTCAAAATGAAAATTCAGCAATACAGTAAGCTCTTGGTCCACAAAATAGTCACTACACCCTACAGAAAATCTGACCCGCTTCAAGATGTCCTCCTGACCTAAGAGGCGTTATATCAAACACAAGGATTATTATTTTTATTACTCTGTCGTACACCTTCAGCACACTCCACGTTTGAAATACTGTGAATCCATATTGCAATCGGTAGGTAGAATGCTGTCTGACTGCAGAAATATTCAAGATTCTGAAGGGCTATAATGGGGTAAATAGTAATTGATTCCCACTGCTTGGTGAGTCTTCAAGTGCTCCGAGTGAAAGGCGCTATATAAATGCAAGCTGTTGTTGCGGCGGCTGAATCACAACATCAACTCGCACTTATATAGCACCCCCCAAGCTGGGTAGAGTCTTAGAGCACTTAACAGTGGTGGAGTCTGACTCCGAGCCGGGGGGATGTGGCCATAAGAACAGGAAAGTTTTCAGGCGGGACTTGAAAGAGGGGAGAGAGGGGGCAAGGCGGAGGGATTGGGGGAGAGTGTTCCAGAGTTTTGGGGTGTTGTGGCTGAAAGCACGACCTCCGATAGTGGGACGGAGGGTGCAAGGGATGAGCAGGAGTCGGTGCCAGTTGAGCGGAGGTGCCGGGTGGTGGATTGGAGAATGAGGAGGTCCGAGAGGGAGGGAGGTGCCAGAGAGTGAAGGGATTTGAACACAAGAGTGAGGATCTTGACGTCGATCCGATCGGTGATGGGGAGCCAGTGGAGCCTGGGCCGGAACTGATGAGATGTGGGTACCGAGATTGGTTCAGGTCAGTATACAGCCAGCAGAATTTTGAATGAGTTGATCTTGTGAATGGTGGAGCTGGGGGGGGGGGGGGAGACTGGTGAGAAGTGCGTTGGGAGTAATCCAAGCGGGAGGTGACAAAACACATGCTCGAGGGTTTCGGCTGCATTTGGGGTAAGGTACGGTCACAAATGGGCAATGTGTCGGAGCTGGAAGAAAGTGGTCCTGGTCAAGGACTGGATGTGGGGGAGGAAGGACAGTTGGGGGTCGAACCGGATGCCTAGGTTGCGTACTGGTTCGGTGAGTCTGAGGGAGAGCCTAGTGAGGTTGAGGAGTCCAGATCCACAGGAGTGAAGACATTGACGGGAGTCAAGGAATATGGCTTCCGTCTTGTCCATATTCAGCTGCAGGAAGTTTACACTCATCCAGGCGTTGATGACTGCCAGACAAGCTGATAGAACATCAGTAGACGTGGAGTTGTTACTGGAGTAGGCAAAGTAGATTTGTGTGTCATCCACATACATGTGGAAGTTTACCCCGTGTCTGTGGATGACATTGCCCAGAGGGAGCATATAGATAAGGAAAAGAAGAGGGCCAAGGATGGAGCCCTGGGGTATCCCACAGGTGACCGGGTGGGGGTGGGAGGAGAAACCATTTGCTGAGATGAAATGGAGGTGGTTGGTTAAGCAGGACTCGAACCATGCAAGTGCTGTCCCACTAAGTTAGATGAGAGAGGAGAGATGATGGAAGAGGATGGCGTGATTGACTGCGTTGAACGTAGCAGAGATCAAGGAGGACGAGGAGGCAGAGGGAGCCCTGGTCACAGAGAGAGAGAATGTCACTTGTTACTTTGGCAAGCGCTGTCTCTGTGCTGTGGGCAGGGTGAAAACCAGACTGCAGGGACTCGAGGAGGGAGTGGAGGGAGAGGTAAGACCGAAGTTGACCTGCAACAATGAGAAGGCACAAATTTAAGATAATCATAAAATGAACTAAAAAGGGAAAGAAAATAGAGCTTGGAGTGTGGCATTCTCTGTGACATACTGCTGAAAGATATGGGGTATGGCGAAAGAGGGGGGCATTGAAATGAAAACTCTGTCTGATAAACTTGTGGAAAAGACTTGATGGGCTGATTGGCATCCTCCTGTTCCTATTTTTCTATGTAAACAATGTTGAAGATGGGTATAGAGTATTTAAAAAAAAGAATTAAATAGATGCCTGTAAAGAATATTTAAGATGATATGGAGAGAGGAGAGTGAGGTTACATGAAAAAAACACCAGTGTAGACTTGATGGGCCAAATGGCCTGATGTTGGCCTGTGTTCTGTGCTATAACGTTCTATGATGTGATGCAATCATCTGAATTTTGTCAGGATTAAAAATCAGTAGTGCGTAAAAATTAGGTTCTGCAACAACAACGAGCCTTTGAACACCAAACCGATAAGAGTCATGAGTATTAGTCAACAGATCACTATTTCTTTCCAGCAACACAATTCATTCAATTAAATAGGAGTGAAAAATTAAGGTCAAATCTAAGAAAATTCGAAAGACCTAGCACTGAATTATAAACTACAGCTCCATATTCTCTCACGCATTTTCAAATCCCTTTCAAGCTCTCGCACCCACCCTCCCTATCCGGTTTGCATCTCCCCCCCCCACTCGTCCACCCACTGCCTCAGCTCGGCTGGCTCCGGCCTCCTGTTTGTCCATTCCACCATTGGTGGCCACGTCTTCAGCCACTACGCCCCAAAACTCTGGAACTCTCCCTCAGTCACTCCCCACTTTCAAATCATGCCTAAAGACCTTCCTTTTTGATAGTGCTTACGGTCACCTCCCCCTCCCTCCCGCTCGGGTCAGACTCCTCCATTGTCAAGTGCTCGGGTCACTACCCGGCGTGAAGCCCACTATATAAGTGCAAGTTATTGTTGATGTTATAAGATGGGAAAACAATTAGATGGGAAGACGCTATCTTAAAAAAAAATCATTCGCAGAAAGACAACACCAGCAATGTATTTCGTGAAGATGGGTTTGTGGCTATTGTGGTACTGCATCATCAGCGAGAATATGTAGGGTTCAAGGCCCATAACTTCTATATGATTGCACGCCAGACGTCCGCCTACCTGCAGATGACCACAAGTATCCAACCCACAAAACCCATCCTTGTGCTAAACATTTCAAAACCATTGAGAGACAACTCAAACATTTCCTCTCTCAAAAACATTAAAAGTGGGAGAAATGCAGTTCAGCCCATTCAGCTCATCCCGTTGTTTATATCCAGAAACAACATCTGCTTTTTCCTTTAATAAAAATAATCATAAATTGTTCACTCAACCCACGACTGTTTGTGGGACACTGCTGCGCGCAACTGGTTGCCGCGTTTTGCCGACAAAATATACAGTCAATTCTCTTCAAAGCGCTTCACAGCATATCCTGTGAAGCGCTTTGAGAAGTCTTGAAAACGAGATAAGACTCGACCTCAAATGCAATGATTATTATTATTAATAAAACTATTTACATTTTTAAATTAAAAATGTCCTGGGTTTGGTCAGGACGTGGGTGATGAGGCATACAAAGAAGCAGAAATAGACTAAAAAATGTGACCCAGCTTCAGTTAGCAGAACTAACTGAGTCTGAGTCAATTGGTTGTGGGTTCAAGCCCTACATCAGGATGTTGAACTCATATGGTCTAGGCTGACATGCCACTGCCGTGTTGAGGGTGTGCTGCATTGTTTGAGGTGCCGTCCTTTGGATGACACTGTAAACCAAGGTCCTTGCTGTCTGGCATTTCTCTTGGTATCCTGACCAACAATACCCACAGATAAAATTGATCGTTCACTTCAATGGGTGTTTGTGGGACATCACTGTGCACACATTGGCTGCCACATTTGCCTACAAAATACAGTTGCTTCAGTTTACAGTAAATCCTGTAAGGCACTTTGAGACATCCTCTCTCACTTTGCGATTTTCATTCCAGCACTGCATGCCTATCCCTTCCTTTCTAATATCCTTCCTGCTTAAGGGCATTTATTGAGGTTGGAAGTGGGAGTTGGCAGCAGAAATAAGTAAAAAGTGCCTGGATTGACTGGACTATTATAAGCTACACAACTACCAGTTCTTCAGACTTCTTGCAAGATTTGTGTTAAAAAAAATCAAAACAAATCTTTATGGACATTTTGAACTTTAGAGCAAAAATTACAGAATATTCTCAGACATTGATGAAACAGCAAAAACTGTAATTTAGGCAGAAGATAATCAATGACAATCATTTATAAATTTTATTTCTGGTCAATCATTTTCATTTGCAAGATTAAAACCTAAGACAAATAACCTTTCTTATGCAATTCACTTATATTAAAAGTCTGAATTCAACACGATTACCACTTACTGACCTGACCGGTTACTAATTACCGCTAAACAAATCAAGCCACTTACTCTGACCCTCGCCAAATTTCAGTTGATTAATCGCCGCGTTGCGAATCACTAGTGCACAGATTTACAAAGCTCACACTACTGCCTTTCCAGGCTTCAAAATAAACTGGTAGGAATACAGCACAACCTGCACTTGCTGAAAAGCTTTCAGCCTCTTCTTGAATCTTGATGGAAAAACAAGGTCACATCCCCGGGCCAGAAGAGCTAATTCTTTCCTGAGGTCTGGATCCTGACGCAGTGAAGTGTCCTTTATCATCATCGTCAAAGATAGAAACTGTGCACACACTCGGATCGAAGTGTTTTAACAAAACAAAATCCAGTTAGAAACAGGCCATGAGTTGTGGTTACGGAAAGCAGCTCCCTCGCTTGCAGTTTGAGCAAATCCACCCTTTAACTCGCCACTGCATCTGTGGATCTGTGCTGTGATATTCAGAGTAGGTTTAACATACTGTTCCATACATCACAAGGATCTTGGCTTATTCAACCACTGATCCTGGAAAGTCACTTTGGGGCCTGCCCTTTCTGCAGCCCACATTCCAAAGTCTTAATGGGTGGTTATGAAAAGAAACAAACCTGTTGTTTGGGACCGGGCCGAGCAAAGGCACAAGCGACAATCAATCCAGCCAGAAACTACAGGGATGTAAGAGAATGTTCAGAAGCTCAGCTTTCATAGCCGCTTCATTCACTCTTTCCTTCAGCCAGACTAAAGAGAGGAAAAGCTTGCTTGACTGAAATATCCAGCTGTGGGCCAATGGTTCGGCGAGGTCAATCAAATCAGCTTCACTCAGCGTATTTATTCACCCCTAAAACTGGCCCCTCGCACATTAGCAAAGAGTTCCAACTGCGTCATTCATTCGATCAATAGATCACCTGTTAATTACAGCCGTAGCAGCCCTTAGACGGCAGTTTTCTTTACTCACAATGCACACGGCACTACAACTTATAATAATAATAATCCTTGCCTTTGATATAGAGCCTTATCACGTCTTGGAGACGTCCCAAAGCGCTTCCCAGAACATACTGTAAAGTAAATTGACTGCATATTTTGTGCAAAAGACTGTAGCCAATTGCACACAGCAGCGTCCCCACAAACAGTTGTGATTGAGTGACAATTTTTTCTCAATTTTTGGAAGAGATTATTACCCTGGAAAAGCGATCTGCCGATTGACTAATAACCGGGTTCCTACTTCCTACTAAGTAAACAGAAGCGTGTGGAGTAAGGAAACTTGCCTAACGTTTCGCCCCCTGCCCGGGAATCAAACCCAGGTCCTGTTGCTTGCGAGGCGACAGCTCTAACCAATACACTACAGGACTCCACAACAAGACGCAGAATCAGATCCTGATATTCATTCTCTTTTTTTTGATTCTGTGCCTGGTTAGGCTGGCTTGGAGCTTTACGGTACTGTCCACAGTATTATGTATAAGTTCAATGTCAGGAGCATTTTTAAAAAATACAGCATGAAGGACTGCTGTCCCTTAAAGCAGCGAAAAAACACGAGAAGAAGATAAAAATAGACTGGAATAAATAGGACTGGACTGTGTGGGTGGGGTATTACTGCCTTTGTTAAATTTATACATATAAAATTCCTCCACGTTCAATTAAGCTAGCATATAGGTGTGTTCGAAACTATCCAGTGGGCCAACAGAAATGTAGTGCAGTCACATAGAACAGATGAATGCAGTTGCAATAAGTCTTGTGAAGAGGGTGCAACTGTCCTAAACAGTCATGTACTTTGAGAAGTATTGACGTACAGGGTGCTATAAAAATGCAAGTTCATTCTATCTATAGTATTTCCATTTGCGTCTCCAACACATGCTAACCATCCAGTTACTAGCGCATTCTGCAGGGTGATGAGTACTCATCGTGCAGCTTTTTGGCTGTGCTGCACTATCAAGGGGTAATGGGAAATGAGACCTGGCAAAAGTACAACAACAACTTGCACTTATATAGTGTCTCAGAGCGCTCAACAATGGCGGAGGCTGACTCTGAGCCGGGTAGGGAGGTGACCGTAAGCACGGTCAAAAAGGTCTTCAGGTGGGACTTGAAAGAGGGGGGAGAGGGGGCAAGGCGGAGGGATTGAGGGAGAGTGTTCCAGAGTTTCGGGGCGTAGTAGTTGAAAGCACGACCTCCAATGGTGGAGCGGAGGGTCCGAGGGACAAGGAGGAGGCCGCTACCAGTCAAGCTGAGGGGCAGGGTGGTGGATTAGGGAGCGAGGTGGTTGGGAGGTGCCAGGGAGTGAAGGGATTTGAACACGAGTGTGAGGATCTTGAAGTCGATCCATTGCAGTACAGATTGGAAACCCAAACTAAATTAACCAGAACATATTACGTCGTCGTCAATCACAAATTAAAATACGAGGAACAACGAGTGAGCAAAAAAAAAATGCGTACTTTTAAACTTTTAAGGAAAATGGGGGAGTAGACGGTCCTGGTGGCGGCCAAAAGCATAATCAACGTGATGTGTTTAGACATGTTTTCGAAGTAGAGGGGCAAATGTTGAAGCAAAGAGCTTTAGAAGAATGTTCAGGTGGGTGAGGATAGTAGGAGTCAGAGTTATTAAGTAGCTTCATATATACATTTGAGGAGCCAGAGGGGGAGATATTTGAAGAATTCGAGAATGTTTATAAAACCTTATATAGCTTTGATAGAGACAAGTGTAGTGAGTTTTTTTTTGTAAATAAATCTTTGCACACAGCAAAGTCCCACATAAAGCTATGAAATGCCCAACTTATCAGGCGGATTGTTCACTAGAACACCAAAATCTCCCTTTGTGAACGTCACGAGCATTAGCCTGAAGACCATGTAGATAACACTTTAGTTAACATTTCATCCTCTGTCAATGGATAACACTTAAGTTAACATTTCATCCAAAGGTCGGCACCTCTGACAATGTTCCTGTAAGTGCTTCCCAGGACTGAAGTGGAGTCAGTCCATGATATGAGCTCAGGTCTTAGCGTGGGATCCCACAAACCTCTGAACTAGTAGTTAGAATGCTTCCAACTAAATACTATTAATATTACTGTGTATGAATATCTTCACAGATAGGCTAATATTGCAGGTACACAACTTGCAATGCTTTACTGCTTAACATCTGTTTGGGGCAAGCTATTAGAATCTATAATAAAGGATGAAGTAACCAGTCATCTGAAGAAGCAGTATTAAGAGCAGCCAGCAGATGCTTTAAAAGCAGCAAATGCAGGTAACAACAATAACTTGCATTTATATAGCCTTGAAGTGCTTCGTATTGTGGAAAGAGGAGATCAAGTAGCCAAAGGACTTGTTTCAACCAAACCTCTCAGGCCACAGCTATACCCCATTGCCTTTTCCTTCAATGGATGCACTTTCCTTCATACCTCACATCCGTGCCATGATCCGCTCTGCCTTTCCCCACCTCCGCAACATCTCTCAGCTCCGCCACTGTCTCACATTGCAGGCCGCCGAGATCCTCATACACGCATTCATAACATACAGGCTCGATTACGCAAACTCCCTGCTTGTCGGCCTCCCCAACTTCTCCTCCACAGGCTGCAGAACATCCAAAACTCTGCAGCCCGTGTCCTCTGCCACACCAGGCTCTGCGACCCTATCACCCCCACCCTGGGCCGATTCCACTGGTTTCCCATTGCACAGAGGATATGGTTCTGGAGAAGATCCTGGTCCTCACTTTCAAAGCCTTCCATGGCCTTGCTCCCCCCTACCTCTGCGACCTCCTAAACCCTACCAACCTGCCCGCTTCCTCCACTCAGTGCTTCACATCCCCTGCCTCACCAGCCCCACCATTAACAGGTGGACGTTCAGCCACTCTGACCCCACCCTTTGGAACTCCATCCCACAGTCCCTCCACCTTGCCCCCTCCATTGCCTCCTTCAGGACCCGTCTTAAGACCCTCCTCTTTGACTGTACCTTCGGTCACCCTCCTTTCCCCCCACCCTCTAGGATCCTGACCGCCAGCTTGGGTCCGAAACACTGATTGTCCAGCACCTTGGGATCTCCCCCCAACATGAAAAGCGATATACAAATATAACTGTGTTGTTGTTGACCAATACAACTTCCCAGTCCTTGCATTTTTCAGGTCAGGAACAACAACAACTTGCACTTATATAACGCCCTCCACGCAGGGTAGTGTCTCAGAGCGCTTAACAGTGGCGGAGCAGGGTCGAAGAGGAAGATTTTCAGAAGGGCCTTGAAAAAGGGGAGAGAGAGGTGCAAGGCGGAGGGATTGAGGGAGAGTGTTCCAGAGTTTTGGGGCATAGGGTGCGAGGGACGAGCAGGAGGCTGGTGCCAGTTGAGCGGAGGCACCGGGCTGGTGGATTGGGTGCTAGAGAGTGAAGGGATTTGAACACAAGCGTGAGGACCTTGAAGTCGTTTCGTTCGGTGATGGGGAGCCAGAGGAGGCCGACCAGGACTGGTGAGATGACCAGAACTCATTTACCAATGGGCCTGTCTTGTGGTCCCATACAGATGGAAATTATTGCAGTGAATTGATGAGAATGACCTTAAAATTTTAATTACATTTTGGCAAATGAGTCTCAGTCTAAAATTGAAATAGGGGAATGAGAGAGATAAAAACAATTAGAGGGGGAAAAAAGAGCAGGAATCTAGATAATAATAGGAAAAAATGTAATTAAGAACCCGTAGCAATAAAGCTAGGGATTTTGAATACGAGATCAGTTGACAATCACAAAGATCTCAAACCGGTAAGCCAAAAACATAATTTGACCTGTGCTCAAGTTGTCAAATAGCTTATCCAGGACAAGATTTTGAAATTGAATAGTCCTCGAGATTTGAAACTGGAGTAAGCGTAAAATCAGATTTAACCATGGATCTATAAGAGTTCTCCTGAAAAGAATGATTTATATGGAATTTGCACTCTCCCATAATTTGGAATAGGTTTTTAATATCCATAAGAGGTTTTAAACCAAAAAACAGCAATTCTCAAAATTCCTGGAACAGTAATTGGAAGACAATCTACCATGCAATAAATTGAAATAGAGTATCATCTGCACTACAAAATTGAGTGGTACAGTACCTAAAATGTCAAGCTGGTCTCTCTAGCAATATTACAGTGCTTTGCAGCAATGAACATAAATATTTATTCCTGCCTGAATCTAATTTTCTGTTAGGTTTTGTTTTATTAAAATACATAGGAAGCATTTCACAATGCGATAAAATTGCTGAGCAGATATCATTTTCTAAAATGAAATGGTATTCTGTAAAGTATTGTACTGCACATGAACTGCTTACAATCTCTAGTTGCCATACTCAAAGGAGCTCAATTTGATATTTAGCAGGCGTTGAACTCCAGAGTAGTTTAACAGCATCAGGTTATCGCCCACAATTGATGGTATAATAAAAAAAATTAACAAAAAAGTCCCTTACAAAATTAAGATCTACTTCAAATTAACAAGTTTCAGCATTTGTACACAACAATCACAATGGATCCTGTAGCGTATTGGTTAAGCACTGGCATCGCAAGCGAGAGGACCCAGGCTTGATTGCCGGCCAGAACGAAATCTTAGGCAAGTTACTCCTTACTCCACACGTAATAATAATCTGTCAAAAAAATTTAAAAAATTGGTCGCTCAATCCACGACTGTTTGTGGGACACTGCTGTGCTCAATTGGCTACCGTGTTTAGTCCACAACTTAACAATAAATAAAAATACTTGCATTCGATATAGTGCCTTATCACGTCGTTGAGACTTCTCAAAGCTCTATAACTTATACAGTTAAATCATTTTACAAAATATTGAGATGTTTCAACGATGTAATAAGGTGCTATAT